TCATTCATGGAAACAAAAAGAAGTCCCATGAAGCAAGGTCAGAGGGCAAGAGAGGGATGCTGTTTTTTTGCCAAAAACTGGCACACTGAGATGGCTGCATGCGCGAGTGCATTGTCGTGGTGGCAAAACCAGTGCCCCATCTGCGACAAATCAGGTGGTTTTTGTCGCACACTGTGATGCTGTCTTTGCAGAGCCTCCCTGACCTGGCAGAACAAACTCCAAGCGCACGATGAGTGGACATGTTCATCTGTTTGGAAAGGTGATGGATGTCCAGAACGAGGTTTGTCATCAGTCGACTTTTCACCTTGTTTGAAATGAGCAAGCCACTCCTACCCTTGAGGTTGTCCCATAGCGCTGTCCTTGTACGCTGTGTTCCACATCACAACAGTTTCTGCAGCATTTTTCCTGAGCAGGAAACAAAATTTCATAGCTGCATGCTGTTCTCTTAAATTGGCCACCACAAAAAAGGAGGTTCAACCAAAACTACTTCCACCAAAAAATCCGCTGTGACCAGAGTTACACTGGGTGCACTAACTCAGAGTGAGTTGCTTGATGCTTGCCTAGCAGGAAAATGCGTGCTATGAAATCTCCACTCTGCGCAGCACAATTCTGTTTTTATTGGGGGGTGGGGTGGGTGTTACCTCCTCGTGTGACTGGATTTGGGACTCAGACTTAATTCTAGCCCCAGTCTAAGAACAATCAGTTCTCATGACATGGTCCTGCCTGTGCTGCCCCCGTGAAGAGATGACTGAGGATATGTATGGGCGCCACTGCAACGTGTGGTGGATAAAGCAGACGGTGCCCGGCTATCAGAAGGAAGAGCATCTGGGGCCCTAAAGGCTTGTCTTCAAACAAGAGGCTGTCTAAGTGAGGCACCCACTAAGTCCACATGGAAGAAGCACACCACCCTGTGTGAGCCAAGGAGGAAGAATACTAAAATCAAAATCGGAAGCAGGGAATGGCATCAGAGCTTAACTAGTGAACGCCTGGCTTGCAGAAGGCTAGAGATGACAGTGGAAGCCCTACATCCATTTGCAGGGTCCACCAGGGATGAAGAAAGATTTCACGTTGGATGTTCATCTTTTGTGCTCTGGCTATCTCATTCTCCCCGGGGGCAGGGGAGGGGGAATATGGCTATTCCTGAATTCCCACAGCTTCCCCAGCAGCCCAGATCCTGCTCAGAGCTGCTGGCAGGACTTTAAACTGGTTCATTCCAAATGGACAACTTGCTGAGAATTTACATTTCTACCCCCAAACCAAAAACCAAACTCGCTGCCATCTAGTCCTGTCTGACTCATGGAGACCCTATAGGACACGGTTGAACTGCCCCTGTGGGTTCCCCCAGACTATAATTCTTTACGGGAATAGAAAGTTTCATCTTTTCCCCCAAGGAGTGGCTGGTGGTTTCGAACTGCTGGCCTTGTGGTTAGCAGCCCAACACGTTACCCACTGTGCCACCAGACTCTACATTTTAACAGGATCTTAAGGATCCATAGGTAACACTGGTGGCACCGTGGGTTAAGCATTAGGCTGATATAGGCAGTTGCAATCTACCAGTTGCTCCTAGGGGGAAGATGCGGCTACCTGCTCCCATAAAGATTGACAGTCTCAAACCTTAGGTTCGGTGGCTGTGACTTGGCAATGACTTGGTTCTGATTCAGTACACCCGGGGATGGAAGTGGAGCAGTGTAGTGGTACCATGTTGGGCTGCGATCTGAAAGGTTAGCAATTTGAAACCACCGGCTGGCTTCTTGGGAGAAAGAAGGGTGGGATTTCTACTCCCTTAAAGAGTTACAGTCTTGGAAACCCACAGGGGCAGTTCTACCCTGTCCGGTAGGGTCGTTATGCATTAGAATCCATGGCAGTGAGTTTGGTTTGGCTTTGGGGTGGACATGCACATTCGCTTCAGAGGGTTGAACAGGGATGAAGCTGGTTGAAGCCCCTGGCCGTGAGTGAACACTGGGGCCTGAGGGGCACCTGGAAGCTGCCCTTCACCTGTGAGCCTCCTGGTGGCAGCTCCACACCCTGCTCCCTGGTTTAAGTTACTCCAGTTTGAGACCCACTGAGTTGAGGACCGTTCCTGGCACATGCACCCCCAAATCAAACCATTGCCAGCCACGGAGTAGCTTCTGACTCACACAGACCCTACAAGAGAGCAGAAACACCCCCACAGGCTTCCGAAGACCGCCATCTTCGCCGAAGCAGAGTGCCTGCCGTATCTTTGTCCGGGGAACAGCTGGTCAGCTCTGTCGTTTAGGTTAACATCCAGATGGGTAACCACTGTGCCACCAAGCCCCTTTCACACCACATGGGAGCTGGTAACATGTGGTGTCGGGTGCCACCGAGTCGTCCCCAGCTCATAGTGACCGAAGGCAACCCTGCCCGGTCCTGCGCCATCCTCACATTGTTCATATGGTTGAGCCCGTTGTGGCTGCCCATGTCAATAACTTCCCATTCCCAGTCTGCAGCTCTCTATGCACAGAGACCCCTTAGAACAGAGTAGAACTGCCTCCTGGGATTTCTAAGGCTGTGGAACCTGACTGTCACATTTCCTCCCAGTAAGCAACTGGTGGGCTTCAACATTCGGTGCCAACCTTTCCTTAGGTTAGCAGCCCTTCGGTAACCACTACACCGCCGGGTTCCTGCCTTGGCTCTCTGTCTCTGTTTTAAAAAGCATCGCCCAGCAGCCCCGGCGTTACTAACCGCATCGTTATCATCTCCCTGTGGGCCAGACAGGAGGAAACTTGTTTATGGTGCAGTGTGAGGGAATGAAACAAAGGACGTCCCTACGGAGTGAGGACGGAAAAAAGAGGAAGATTGCAGGGTGACCTTACAACTCTGACTGACCCTGTCCAACTTGGGGGTACCACAGATCCGGACACTGACTGCAGGTCTGTGAGCTCACCTGCGCTGAGGGTCCTCCACCAGCCCAGCCATCAACGCAGAGTCACCTCAGCCGAGCCACCTCAATAAGACGCTAGTCTTGTGTCCTGGCTGCAGGGCCTGTAAAGTGAGGTGGTGGGGTGAGTGAGTCCTTAAGCTCTGACTTTTGGGGGAGCCCCATGGCCGCAGTGTCTTGGAAGAAGTACAGCCGGAGTGCTCCATAGAGGCAAGGATGGCAAGAAGTCATCTGTCATACTTTGGACAAAATTTCAGGAGAGGCCAGTCCCTGGGGAAGGACATCATGCTGGACAAAGTGGAGGGGCAGCAACAAAGAGGAAGGCCCTGAAGGAGAGGGATTGACTCGGTGGCTGCAACCATGGCTCAGGCGTAGGAGCCGCTGTGAAGACTGGCAGCGTTTCGTTCCGTTGTGCATCGGGTTGCTATGGGTCAGAACCAACAAAACAGCCTGGCCACAGCTGGAGGTGCAAGAAGTCGAGGTGCAAGCAGACCGCCGCAGACTGGAAGAGGGAGAGGCCAGGGAAAACCCCGGCCAGACGTTCCTGCAGTCAGGCCGCTGCTCTCAATGATCCACTGGCTCTGAACTTGAACCCAGGTCAGGAGTCAGTGAGCCCTGAACTGGAATTGGTAGGACCTTGGGGAAGTCACTCTGCTTTCCAGAGCCCCCCATTGCCCACTGTAGACCATGATTAGTCAGAGCCCGGTGTACTGGGCATTGAGCTGCTCCCCACAAGGTCAGTGGTTTGAACCCAGTAGCTGCTCTGAGGGAGCACGATGAAGCTTTCTGCTCCTGTCAAGGCGGAGAGCTTTGAGACTTCAGCCCTGTGAAGCTCTGTTTTAGAGGGTCGCTGTGAGTCGGAATGCCCTGAAGGGCAATGAATTGGGGTTTGAAGCTCCCCAGTATGTGGTGGGGACTTCCCTGAGTGATTAATACAGCAAAAACAACAACAGCCACACACCACCAGTCCTTGCTAACACGCAGTGACTCACGCATAACTGTCCACCAGAGTCCACAGCCCGGTCCATCTCCCGCGGAGCTGCTGGGGGCTCCAGACTGCCCACCATGCCATCACATGATCATGCCTCCTGAGAGGTCCCTTTTATCCAGGTGTAGGGACCTGTACGCATTTCAGAGTCCTCA